ACCAGCTGCATCTCTGTGGTGGGGGGCATCTGGCTGCTCTCCTGCGGGCTGGTGGCCCCCGCCATCGCCCACACGTACCACGTGGAGTTTCGGCAGGAGGGTTTCGCCATCTGCGAGGAGTTCTGGATGGAGAAGGAGACGCAGCGCCTGGCCTATGCCTACGGCACCCTGATCGTCACCTACATCCTGCCCCTCTCCGCCGTCTCCCTCTCCTACATCTGCATCTCAGTGAAGCTGAGGAACCGAGTGGTGCCTGGCCACCCCACGCAGAGCCAAGCCGAGTTCGACCGCCTGAGGAAGAGGAAGATCTTCCGCCTCATCGTGCTGGTGGTGGCAGCCTTTGGGGTCTGCTGGCTCCCCATCCATGTCTTCAACATCATCCGTGACATCGACATCAATCTCATCAACAAGCACTATTTCCTCCTCATCCAGCTGCTCTGCCACTGGTTCGCCATGAGCTCCTCCTGCTGCAACCCCTTCCTCTATGCCTGGCTCCACGACCGCTTCCGCGGGGAGCTCCGGAAGATGTTCACCTGCAAGAGGAAGACTATCCCCGCCAAGAACTGTGGGGCTGCTGGCGGCGTGCTCTGAGGCCGGGGTCCCGCTCCCCGGACCCTCCACGGCCGTGCGCTTCATCCCGTGCACGGCAGAGCTCTCCTCGCTGCCGAGGGGTTGGGGAATGCCGGTCCTGCCCGTGGGACCGGAGGCAAACGGGGTCCTCCTGCCTGCCCAGGGCTTTGCAGCACTCGCTGCAGCATCCTTCCCTACGCCTGCCCTGCATTGGGGTGCTCAGCTCCCTGCCGGCATGCCCTGAGCTCCCTTCGCCTCCAGAACGGCAGCTGTCGAGCAAAAATGCCTTTGCTGCACCTTTTCCCTGCTAAGTCGCCCTAGCTGCCCCCGACTGCGCACCCGCGACCCCGCTAGCCCTGGCAAAACCCATCACTCCCACGAGGGTCCCATAGGTGCACCTGCACCTCCCTGGGGGGCACAGGCTGTGCCCACGCAGGGCTGCCTTCTCCCCTCCTGGCTGCAGGCAGCCCCCCAGGGCAGCATGCATGGCTCAAGGGCTGTCCCCGTCCCTGTCCCCATCCCCAGGGCTGGCTGCTCCCCGGCAGGTCCTGCTCGGTGGGTCACCCCGAGATGCTGTGGTCCAAAGGGCTGCTGTAGCCTCACGCTGAGGCTGTCAGGCTTCGGAGGAGGCAAGGAGGGGGACCAGAGCATCGCCAGCATTGCTGGGTGCAGGGTGGATGCTCCCGGGGAGCAGGGGAGGGGATGGGTTGGGTTGGGATGGGGGAGAAAAGGTTCCAGAGGGCACAGCGCCCAGCCCCGTGGGAGGGCTGCATGCTTCGCTTCAAGACCTCGCGGTGTCATTATTCTAAATTAATGAAGGAAATGGGCCTGTGGGAGTGCAAGGAAGGGGTGAAAAGCATTTCACTGGAGTGACAGCTGGAAGTAGTTGTCCCTTTCATTAAATGACTCATACAGCTCTCATTAAATTGATTCTCCGGTTTTGGAAATGGTGTTTCTCCTGTGAGATTGTTGCTGCTCAGCCTTACACACCCCTGCTCACTCTGCATGCCCCCCCCCCCCCACCCTGTACCCCTGGACACACACACACCTGTAGGCACAGGCACCCGTGTACCCTCCGCAACACCCACCCACACTGCCCTGTGCAGACATGCACAGGCCTATATGTGCACGAAAACACACACACCTGTCCACACGCACGCCCATTCACACACCCCTGTACACATACATACATCCCTGTACACACACAGAGCTGTATATACACATATGTACCCACGCATGCACCCCTATACACACACTGCACGTACACCCAGACACCTGTACACACCCCTGTATGCATGCAGCTCTGCACACACGCTCATTCACATACCCCTGTACATATATGTACACCCCTATACACACCTGAACACACCTGTACATACACCTGTACACCCCTGCACACACACCTGTACACCCCTGCACACACCTGTACACACACCTGTACACACCCATATGTGCCACACACACCTGCACACATCTGTACACACCCATACGTGCCACACATACCTGTACAACCTGCACGCAACTGTACATACACCTGTACACACCTGCACATGCCACACACACCTGCACACACCCCTATGTGCCCCCCCACCTGTACACCCTGCACACACCTGTACATACACCTGTACACACCCCTACATGCCCCCCCACCTGTACACCCTGCACACACCTGTACATTCACCTGTACACACCCATACATGCCACATACACACCTGTACACGTACCTGTACACACCCCTACATGCCCCCCCCACACCTGTACACCCTGCA